TCTCCTTTAACCTGGGACAGTGATGTGACAACATAATAACAAACTGTTAAAATCAGTTGTAAAAGACTTGACTCATCATATCTACAATAGGCAAGAACAAAAAAACAAAAAAACAAAAACAAAAAAACAAGGTACTCGATGGAACTGAAAAATTGTTCAAAGTCAATTCCAATTAAAGTAATAAAACATATTTTCCAAGACTAGAATTAGTTCACATCAAATGGATTTAGTGTGAAGACGTCATAAAATGTCTGAGAAAAGCATGGACTTGTGCAATAAACTCATAATAGATACCAGGCTTAAATTTTGTACACCAGACGCGCGTTTCGTCTTCACCACTCACCACTGACGCTCTAACCAAAAAAAAGTTAAAAGGCTAAATAGAGTACGAAGTTGAAGAGATTAAGGTCTAAAAATTCTCAAAGGTTTTGCCAAATAAGCTAAAGTAATCTATTCCTGGTGGTAGAAAATCCTTAGTATTCGAACAAATCAAAGTTTTGTAAACACTTAATTTATAAATATGACCATATCATTGATAATTCATGTCAACCGATCCTCAAAATAACTTAGGCTTTCAAACACTTCTTATTCTTTTTAACACTTTCGAAATATTCGATATTGTTTTTAACAAAATTAAATACCGACATTGTCACAAGCAAAGGCAGGATTTGGCACGATGGAAAAATCCCACTGGACCCAACATGTCAAAAAACAATACTGCTACGGCTACTGATATTATAGAAAATGTAGCATTCACTGATAAATGCTTACACTCCCATTAACAAAATTAGTACTGAAAATTTCATGAACAAAATAAAGTATTGATACTTTCACACACAAAACACTGTAGTAAATTCAATTGTCACTGACAAACTAAAAAAACTAGAGCTATCATCTAATTACAATACTGACATAACTATTGACAAAGTAGGCCCGACCCGAACAATAATTGCAAATTAAAAAAAAAATCGCACCTGCGCTTTCTCAATAATATTTGTAGTGCACTACTTTTGTGACAAATTATAGAAAAATTATAGAAAAATTCATCAGCTCTATATCAAAGTATGAACAATTTTATGTTGAGGGGGGTCTTGAATTAGTTTGACAGCTTCAGACATACTAATTTTTTACCTTTTTTCAAATGGACCAAATCACTTACTTTCCTTAACATTCATGACCTAATTTTTGCACAGTGATGAAATTTCATCCCCTTCTTGCTATTTGAGGTAACAAACATGAAGAAATGAAGAAATAAATTGGGAAGGTGTATGAAAAATAATTGCAAGTACTATACTGTCTAAACTAGGGACTAATTTTTTAACGAAAATCAAAGGCCGATAAGTGTGTCATCGAGCCAGTACAATAATGTCACTTATAATTTACAGCATTTGTTACAGACACAATACAGTATCGAAAATTTCACTCAACAACACAATACTGATAATGTCACTAAGAGAATACAAAACAGAAATTGTAACAATAAGAATATAGTACTAATATGTACCCTCCCCTCAAAAAAAAATCCGTTAAATTTGATACTTCTTTCAATACAAAATACAGTAACCGTAAGGCAAAACTGGTAAAATTCAATGCGCTTCCAGTAACACTGTGACTGATAATCAAAACATTTGACACTATAATCAATAATTGTTTTCTCTGTTAGATCACAAGATTTCTAAGATGACAACGTAATCATTGTGAAAATATTAAAATTATCAGTTGATACAATAATGGCTCCGTATAACGGTTGTCAATTCACTTCAGATTTAAACTGTTGTATAGTACATGTTCATGCATAATTTTATTCATGAAAAAAAAGTTATAAGATATACGTCAATTACACATCAACCCAACGACCCCCCCCCCCCCCCTCCCCCAAATCAAAAACAAAACAAAACAAAACAAAACAAAACAAAACAAAACAAAACAAAACAAAACAAAATAAAAACAAAAACAAAATACTAAAAAGAAAGGAATTCGTATGTCAACACTAAATGAGTGTTTTTAAATTATGTCGAGTTCTAAGTCAGTCTATTGAAAGTTCGAACCGGAAATACCGTTTCTTATGAGGAGTAGCGATATTTACTAATATGAAATTGTTAATATGCAGACACTTCATGAGAAAATAAATCGCTAAATTGTTTGAAAAGTTATTACTTCAAAGTGCATAAAAGGAGCGTGTTTAAACATTTTTTTTTGCAATAAGTAGTGACACAAAACTTGAATTTTGAGATCATGTAAAATAAGTTTGGACAATAATACCTAAACTGTATAATTTTGAAAAAACCCTATTATTAAGTTTATATTTTTTTCATAAAAATAAGATACATACATTTTTGACACACATAGATAGATGTATTTAAGAGCTTTGCAAAATGTATAAAATTTAAAAATATTGTTCAATGGTTGAAATGAATAAGCACCAAAAATGTATTCGTGGTGATCCCTGGAATGTTAAATATTTGACAGAACTTTTCGTTCGTCCATCTGGATTTCAAAGTGTGTTAAACAGAAACTAAACAAGTCAATTGATACGATCTTGGTATTCAGAAATGTTTAATCATCCTAAGCCGTTAATTGTGATATAGAATATTCCAAGTTCTATTTTGATATGAAGATCACATATCATCATACATACGTACTCCTTAAAAGTTTGCAAATGTAGATGTGACTGTCACCGATTAGCCGCCGAGAAATGGAGATGGGGATATCACTGTAAATTTTGTCTTGTAGCTACTTCAGTAATATTTAAAAAGATCTACTCCCATTTTTTTGTCATAGAAGTGAAAAATCTTATGAATATGAAGACAAAAAATTCTTCAATATTAGAAAAACTATGTTTTGTTAAGATCGTTCCTCCTGTTTAGAAACTGGACACACGCATCACATATTCTCGGCATTATAAAGTAAAAGTCGAACCTTTAATGTAACTGTTATCTACCACGAACATATAGCATATCGCATAAATGTTTTAACACTTATAGTTATATCTTCAATTTAGTTTATTCAACAACTTGTTTTATAAGTATGCAATATGTTACATGTGTATAATTTTATTTATTTTAAACAAATTTTACATAGTCTATAAAAAGGTTTTCTTTGACATCTGTTTATCAAGATGTTACTTAAAAAGGCATTCCTGCATTTCAGTTTACACCTATGAGTACTATCAACATAGTATGTAGGGCAAAGAAATACGTTGGTGAAATTATTGATTGATTCCATATGGTATTAGATAAACATAGTTTTAGGGAGAACAAATGTTAGAAGATATATAAACCATTATCTCTAAAGAAAAGTTAGTATCAGTAGCAATTCTTACAAAATTCTTCCAAGAATGAAAAACCATCTGTAAATAAGATCAAATAAACTCATCATAGATACCAGGATTACAATTTAGTATTACAAACGAGGAATTCTAGTCGTAAGATTGTTTTACGATTTAAAAAAAAACAACCAAAATCACAAACAACCAACATCGTAAAAAAAAAGACAAATCGTTATGCTTAACCGTGATGCGTAAGAGAATATGCAAATATTCAAAATGATCACCAATGTGGCCGTAACACATGAATCCATTTGATAGAAAACAAAATGATCACCAATGTGGCCGTAACACATGAATCCATTTGATAGACAATAAAATTATCACCAATGTACATGTGGCCGTAACACATGAATCCATTTGATAGACAATAAAATTATCACCAATGTACATGTGGCCGTAACACATGCATCCATTTGATAGACAATAAAATGATCACCAATGTGGCCGTAACACGTGAATCCATTTGATAGACAATAAAATTATCACCAATGTGGCCGTAACACGTGAATCCATTTGATAGACAATAAAATGATCTCCAGTGTGGCCGTAACACATGAATCCATTTGATGGACAATAAGCGATGTTTAAGATTTGTGTTTTAATGTTTTATTGCTTAGCAAAGCACTTAGTACTATTTATCCCAGTCGACACCTATTGGGCAATCAATACAACAATAGAATGACACAGCAGAGATAGCAGTATACTCCACTTCTGCCATGCAATTCTCTTGTTTGGGTGGCAGTTTAATAGCCTTCTGTTTAAATATGAAAAATAACCCTAATTGGTAAGATATTTTTTTCGAGTATTCATCTAAAATATTTACTAGACGAACATTATTAACCAAAAGCAAAATTCTGCTGGAAGTAAGGCAATACATGTATTCAGATATAAAATAAATCGTTTAGGTAAGAGGCGTCTTTCGAAGTTTATCCTACCTCTTTGAGGTCTCGTTGCAGTAATAGTAGTTTTCATAAATTGTTTATTTGCTCGCCTTTATTCATGATTAATTTGTCTACCACGTATACATTCCCTGATAAAAACCGTTTGGTTCGAAATATTGGACTAGTCTTTGCCTGATATGTATACACCAAATTAGAAACGTCTGAAGACAGTCCAAAACCGTAATTTTGACAGAGTTTAGAAAAAATTGAGTATTTATCACAAACATGTATAAGAACAGCGCTAGCCAAAATCAAAATTAAGTTGGAAGTAAAGCTGTACATTGTCTTTTGGATACACATTAGTTTATTTTGGTTAGCGACGTCCTTCAATGCAAAATTTTACAAAAACATGCATGTACAATTCGCAATTTATCTCAAAATGCCTTCAACAGCAACATGTAGCGACGGATAACATTATGACGATATAGAAATATGTAAAATTGTTAAAAAGTATATAATATAGAATTCGTAATAGTAAATTTCTAGTAGGGTTTGACACCTTAAGATTTTTACCCTTGCAGTGAAACAAATGAAGAGCCGGGGAAATTGGCCCTACCTTTAAATTAAGTGAGTTATGCTTTTTATGTTTTGCTGACTCTATTACATTGTACTTTATTGTCTTTTCTAAGTTAATAAATATCATTTGATTGAAGTTTAAACCTTTAAACTATGGAAAGCATGTAAAAACTATGGAAAACATATAACAACTATGAAAACATATAAAAACAAACCTTTCAGATCCTCAATATCAAGAACGCCGTCATTGTTTGTATCAAGTTTGTCAAATGCTTCATTGATTACTGCAATTCTTTTATTATTCATTGGTGACCTTAATGCCTTCATAAACTCTAGAAAGTCAATTTTACCGTTTTTATCTTGATCAATTGAATCAAACAATGTTTTCAGGTACTTATCTGCCATTCTCAATCCAAACTTTTCCAAACCAATTCGTAGTTCATCAAGAACTAAAGACCGAGAACAATCTAAATCCATGGTACGAAAAACCACACCAAGACCTCGAATTCCTCCAAATCCATGACGTAAACATTGTTCCTTTAGAATTTGTGTGAGTATAGCAGATTTGTCCGCCATGCTAATTACATTCTATCAATTCTACTGCCAATGTTTTAAAATAAATATTTCTTTATGTTTATATACTTATACCAGTCAAATTTCCTTCTGAAACGTTTGGTATAAACAGAAAAGATCACTTCAAATTATAATCATGTGATATCCCAAGTGTTCCTTAATGAGTGCAAGTTGTATATTTCAGACAAAAACCTGAACTAATGCGTCTTAACGAATACGTATCTATTTGTTCGTTTCAAAGAAATAAAATTTGAATATGATGCTCTTGATGTTCTAGATGCATGTTAAACAATAATTAGCATCCTGTTTTAATTATTCACAAAAGTTACATGCCACTTGAGATAAAACAGAATTATGCAGTTCAAACCTTCCCTAATAACTAGTTCAACAATATTGACAAAAGAATATTAATTATGCATATCCTTTTATTAATGTTTCTTGGAGTCGGAGATGAGACATAATGAAGTCATCTTTAAAGTGCGTTTTCTTGTAAAATGTAGCAACTGATTGCCAAAGTTTAGAGCAATTACACCGCAGGGTTAACGTTACAGTATCATTTATCTCGTTTAAAATGTATTTACTTTAAAAATAAAGTTCAAGAATTTATCATATCTTTCAACAGTTTAATGAATGCTCATATAGCATCCTAATTTTAGCAGAAGAAAAAACCCACAGAAAAAAATTAGGTAAACTCATTTCATAGCAATATAAATGAATTGATTTATACACATATATATATTAAGCTTAAGACATAACTGGAAGGAAACCAAAACATAAATTCAGAGTATCTAATAAATGTAAAAATTTGTGTTTATTCAGTTTTTAGTCAATAATTGATCTGAAGGTAGACATTCTGAACAGTGTAACAGTTTTTCTTGCATATTTTCACTGATGGATCTTTTGTAGACGAAACGCACGTCTGGCGTACACAATTTTAATTCTGGTATTTATATTATGAGTTTATTGATACATTTCAAGACCGCAAGATGATAGAAAAAATGAAACTGGTGTACGATCTTGATTTGATAGCGCACAATTATATTAATTTTTTTTTACATGAACTCTAAATAGACAATGGAAACATCACAGAAGAACTGTCACTTCGAAATGATATTTTTGGTCAACAATAGGTAAACCAGAACAAATTTATACATCATTTTAAAACTAATATATAATTCTTTATTCCACAAATTTAATACACCGTGAAAGTATCTTACATTTCTTGCAGAAAAACAGTGGAAGACATCGTTTGTACATCTTGCAAATTTGATGGAAGCTTCCGTATTACTCGTATAGATTTGTTTGAAAGGAAAGCGCTTATTTTGATGGAAAGAATAACAAAAATGGATTAACGATAGCATCAACAAAAAAAAAAAAAGAACGAAAGAAAGCCAAAAGAAAATCCACTTGTGTCACCCATTGTTGTGTTCATGTCGAGTAAAATTTGGTAATAATGATGATTCAAATCATGAGGGCGTCCGTAAACTTTCGAAGAGACGAATTAAACTTTAACATTAAGAAATATTGGTTCAAAAACTTCCTTGTAAGCATTGACCATCTCTTAGGTATTTCACAGTAATCATAGAATCAAAGCAGGAAAATCGTAAACAAAATCATCAGATATGTACTATACATATACTCCAAATGCTGATACTACTGTCCTGAATATAGAAAGTTCACAATGAGAAAATTGTAATCATGATTTTTTTTTGTAAAGTTTCTGACGATTTGATGAAAACTAAATCTAACGACAAGATAATTTAAAGAGCAATGGAATTTATTTCTCCAAAACATATCGGCATTAGCCTATTTTCTCGTTGGCTTTCCGACAGTTTTGACTGCAACAGATCAGTCCTATGGAGACGACACGTGCGTCTGGCATAACACATCATAAGATTATCTTTTAAAGGCATTTAAATGTCTAAATTCAAAGGAAAGTATGCCAATCTGACACAAGAAAGTAAGTTGGTATGCTAACTAGGATTTAACAAAATTAAGTTAAAACTAAGTTATGATTGTATACAACTCGACACTTGTAAACCACATATATAAAATAATATGTAGTATTGGTAGTTGAATTATTTGTTAACAGTGTAAGCATACATGTTCTAAACTTCCAAGTCTGTTTGGTATAAATAAGTTGTTACAGGCGTCTGCATTATACGGATTTTAACGATGACTTTGGTTATTTTAATGGACCTTGGTAAATTAACTTTCTCGATTTGGTAATTATTTCCGATATTATCTTTTGACAAAGTCCGCAATTTTTTTATTAACTGATGGATTAACTCTGTACCAGAATTAAGAAATATTTAGTTGATTTTTAAGTTAAGCATTCAATTTCTTACATAGTACCGTGTTTTGAAATGTAATTCATTTTCTATTTTGTAAAAAACACGATAAATGAGCGCATTTCCATTTCATATATATTTTGTCAAAGAGTCACTTTTTTTTTATATTTAGAATATTTTTGATGATACATTATATAGAAGCTGATTTAATTTCTGTGTATAAATGGTATGTGTATAAATGGTATATTCTAAACAATAAAAATGTAAAACGATATTAAATGAGATTTTGAAAATTTATATTCAGATGAAATAATTTGAGATAACTACCTTTACATGATGGACAAAATGTCATTTTCTTTATGAGGTCTTTTAATTTCATAGTCCCATCCTCAACTTGCTTACCTTTCAGATCATCTAAACTTAATTTTCCATCGGTGTTAACGTCAAAATTATCAAAAGCTTCTGTAACTACACTACTTCTTCTAGCGTTCATTGGTGATCGCAATGCATTCATCAGTTCAGCAAAATCTATAGCTCCGCTTTTGTCCTTATCTAAAGCATTAAACAATGTTTTTAAATAGCCTTCGGACATTTTAAGTCCGTAACGCTCTGTGGCTATCCGAAATTCGGGATAAACTATTCCTTTAGAGAAGTCAATATCCATCTTCCGGAACGCTAGCCCTAACCCTCGGATGCCATTGTGTCCTTTCAAAAGACATTGATCTCGCAGTGCACCAATAAGTAATTGTACGGTACGGTTTTCATCCGACATCTTTATATCTGTTAATTATTTTCGTAAATATTTCTTCAATGTTGTACAAGCATGTGCTTGCTTTAGACGTTATAACATTATTGACAATGAAGCACTTAATTAGTTTGTTTGAAATATGAAGTCGGCTCAACATTAACTTCTTTATTTATTGCATTTTCAAACCATGAAACAGCATTTTACAATTGTTGACTCAATTGACACAGGAGATATTAGATTGTGAAATATTAATCCACAATTACAATTTTATCGCAAATAACTTGCATGACAATTTTAATAAAAGGAATTGATTTGACAAATGGTAATTTGTATTATTCATGAAAAAAGAAATTAGAGCAAATATACAATGTATACATATATCCCCTTTACAGTAAATAGACACTTGGACGCCTCTTAAGCCAGATGTAAATTATTTGACTCAAGTTAACACGTAATTAAAGGATTTGCCGTTATCATTTCTGTTGCAGATGGTCGTATGGTTTTCAACAATGAGAAAAAACAATATCATTTAGTAAGATGTACAAATTCCCAAGATGACCAAATGTGAAAAATTCAATAGAGAAACAAACGGCCTGATTTAATATAAAACCCTGATGTCAAAATAGTTATTGTAAATGGCAACTAACGACAAGCAATGGTCTATAAGCTCATGGTTTGGAACATGCACATAAATAATTGAACAGGATTTAACACTCCTCCTCTAAAATGAGGCAATGATGTACCAGTGCAACATTAAAAAAAACTGTAAAACTCCGTTGAAAAAGGCATAACTCTTTTCTGGTCTTTTTGATCGAAGACATATTTGTTGAGTTTTTTGGATTAACATTACAACAGACAGTCAGTATTCCGATGGGTACTTAATGTGCACCCCTACTTGCCGACTTGTTTTTGTACTCATATACGTAGAATTCAAACAAAACTCTCTCAAAGACAAAGTTCTTTAATTTCACGTTCAGATATATTGATGATGTCCTGTCACTCAAATACCCTCATTTCAATGAGTGCTTGCATCTCCTATATATCCCAGTTAACTTTAGATTAAGGATACTAGAGAAGCTACAAGAGATCTTTTCCTCGATATTGACACAGATGAACGACTTCAAACTATAATCTTTGAAAAACTGATGATTTCAACTTTCCAATTGCCAACTTTAATTGCAACGTACACTTTCAACCAAAATTAATGTGTAGCAACATGTCGCAACTAACAATTTTGTAAAATATTTTGTCGATATCTTATACGGTTTCTGAGGAAAAGCCAAACTCAAAATTAAGAACATGACCTTGACCTCATTTTCATTTTGGTGGACCCTGTACCTCAAATCAAAAGACCCTATGTCCCTTGCTCTTATGGTATATGAGTTACTATGACATTTCACTTATATCAAATACTGGAGAGGAAATAACTCTCATATGGAGTCTCCGGATCGCTCCGGTTAAAATTTTTTTCAACATCCTGAGGATGTAACGAGCAAATTGGTTAAATAATTTCGTCAGTTTCTTTTACGGTTGCAAATAAGTAGCAATCACAAGGAAAACGGTGTTTGGGGAGATAACTCTTACAAGGAAAAGTGTTCGGTTAAACGGTGTCAGTTTTAAAAGCGTATAAACTGTTCGATATCATATGCCAAATATCTAATCGACATCTTGCGAAATAAAAAAAAAAGAAAAATCAATTGTTCAGAGAGCAATTGAAGGTCTTTCCAAATGAAATTTTTATATAATTGATAAAAAGCTACTTGCGGTTTACTCAAAGTTACTATTGGTGTCCAATCATAGGTTTCTTCATACTGATTAAAAATATGTATTATAGTTTCTATAATCTTTTGTCTGAAATAAGGGAGATCATTTAACACTTCTGGTTTAAAAAATGATACTTCCAGTCTCATATGATTGTTTTTCTCACACCGATTCCAAAAATATATGGTTTCTATATACTTTTGCTTGAAATAAGGGAGATCAATTGCAACCATCGGTTTAAAAAAAATCGCTTCCGGTACCATCTGATAGGTAACTTCACACTGATTCCAAAATATATGGCTCTAGGTACTTTTAAATGAAATCAGTGTAGGAAATGGCTACTTCCGGTTAACAAAAGGTCACATCCGGCTTACCTTTTCAAGCTCATATATCTACCAACCTAATGCAAAAGACCCCATAGCTTTATCATGTATTAATATGAATTTATAACGAAGGTCAAAATCTAGAACGTCAAGTTCACCTTTGACCTTGACCTAAATTTTAAGGTC